AAAATGGAGAGCGTGAAGGGATGATGAAGAAATGAGAAGAACCCACACAACTGAGGTCCAAGCTGGGATCTACAAGAACTAGAATGACCCTCCCAGGTTGTCCCTACCTGGCTGAAATGGTCAGGCTTTTCACTTCAGCCCCATACCCCTCCAGTCAGCTCACTGCATGTGCACAACCCCACGAAGCTGTGGCTTTGGAGGAAGGGCATCTGACATGTGAATGGGGTGACCGCTGAAGGTTATCTGACACACACACACACACACACACACACACACACACACACACACACACACCAAGAGTGGTTATTAAGTCCTCCACTGAGGTGATATCTGGAAGTGCTTCACAGTGTCCACCACTGATTGTAACTTCCTTATTTTAAAGAAGTGGGAAACTCAGGGGCAGAAACTTTTGAGTTACAAATCTGAGTCTCAAACTCAGAATTTACATTCCTTGCTTACTATTCTGTAGTAATGATGTCTATTTTGGAAAGAAGAGCAAGGAAATATTTACTTGGTTCAAGTAATTTTCTTGAATGGGACAAACAAAAAGGGATGAGTTCAAACAATTCTTGATGATGTTTTTATAGACAGAACTGAATTGCCAAAGTCATCGCTAAATTATGAATAAGGCCATCAAAAACTAATGATGTAATATATGGTGATTAACATAACAATAAAAAATTAAAAAAAAATAAATTATGAATAAGGCATTATGTCTAATTTCTACACATTGGAAGTGTTTTTGAATGTCTTTATGTGTGTTTTACAGGGCATTCTGATCCCTACAAATGCATTACCAACATATACTGTAATAATGCCTCCTTTTATTAAGTCTTCATTGGGTCTAATGGGAAAAGCAGTAAGCTGACAACTATGCCCAGAACAACACTAAGTAGATGAATGTACTTATTTAGCTTTGATAAAACTTTGGTAAACCTTTTTGGTTCTTCATTTTTAATTTTTTATTTAAAGTTAGATATAAGACAACTTCCCATTCAAAATGCTGTGGATAATATGGGGAATATAAGTTATAGGTATCAGTATTTTATTTTTATACCATGCTTCCCATCACATATCGTATTTTGGCTACGCTGTCCTTTCTGTTCTGTGTACTTGCCACTCTCCTTTTCACCTCAGGGTTTTCACACTCGTTTCTTCTGCCTTGAACAGTGACCCAAAGTCATCACATGGCTGACTCTTTTTCCTCTCTCAGATGATGGCATTAAGGTTATCTCCGCAGAGATCCATACAACCTATGTAACCACTCCATGTCCACGCCAAATTTCCTTTATACTAATTTATTATCTTAATAACACAATTATCTCAGATCGCCTTGTTTATATATTTTCTGCTACTCATTATTTAGCCCCTAGTACATATCTGTGCCTGGCATTTAAGTAATTATTTTGTGTGAAAGAATAATTCAGGCAATAAATGAGTATTTGTGATTTATAGGACTTTAAATACACATCAGAGATGCAAAAAATTATGACATTTTTCATCTGGGGAAATTAATTTACCCAAATTTCTGAATAAATCTGAATAAAACATGGGACAGTTTCTATCTTAATATCATAATTTTTATTAAATAAGCTCTCTACAATATTTTTATCTGAGTCTTCCTAAAGGGCATCCTAAAGGGCATAAGGATGTATAAAATGAATGTGTTTCTGTTTCCATAAATATTTTTCAAGGCATCAAAAATACTCACTTTGTGAGAGACATTCCATCTTCTAATTGGTAAAACCTTGTAAAAATGTTAAAAATTCTTAACTTTCAAATTTTACATTAAAAAACAAGCCTATAATAAAGAAAGTCTGTATAAGAGAGACAAACAAAAACAAGCTATAAATTAGGTCACTAGACTTACAATAATATTTTTGTAAGGAGCTTTTACAATATTTGGCTAGCTTTTAAGCTAGGAATATAAGATGTCCCAGAAGATTAATTGAACACAGGAATTCAACCTCTGATGGGGTCAAATGGAATGTCTTTTGTGATCCAAGCTGAACATTTATACTCATACTCAAATATACATCATTCTACTTATCTAAGTGTATGCTTTCAATGAGATATTAAATACTTTATTTTTAATCAGGGAGGTATTAAATTCTTATTTTCAACTATACTTATTTCAAGTCATAAAGTTCTAGACATGTTCACTTGTCTTATTAGAGAGAAATTCTTTTATTTACCTAAAACTCTCATTCTAATAGCTCGTTCTCTCAACTACGTAGTTACTCTAAAAATTTGGTGCTCGGTGGGAAATACCTTGTTTACTCTACCCTACCATCTATTTTCATGAGAATTTGATTCCATCTACTTTCTTTTTTTTTTTTTAATATATTTTATTTATTTATTTGACAGAGAGAGACACAGTGAGAGAGGGAACACAAGGAGGGGAGTGGGAGAGGGAGAAGCAGGCTTCCCGCCGAGCAGGGAGCCCGATGCGGGGCTCGATCCCAGGACTCTGGGATCATGACCTGAGCCGAAGGCAGACGCCCAACAACTGAGCCACCCAGGCACCCCCATCTACTTTCAAATATCTTCTTTTGAGATGAATGAGACCAGGAAAGCCTGGTCTAAGAAAGTATATTTTCCTATAGAGGCGAGAGACACAGTAATAATGGACTGATGTCGGGATCATAAAACCACAAGCAGTATCTGATACAGTAAAAGAAAGACACCTTACTAAATTAGGAAGTATGGTGGAAATGAGCATAGATAAATCCTAGTTTTTTAAATACATTTTGTGTGCAAAATTTTAGATAGTAATCATCATTAACTGAAATTAATGTTAGTTTCTCCAAATTGCCAGGCAGTTGTCCTAGTCTATGGTGACATCAAAGTGAAAAAAAGGTGGAAAAATAAAAATGCCTTGAATGGGAGCACCCGGCTGGCTCAGTCAGTAGAGCATGTGGTGCTTGATCTCAGGGTTGTGAGTTTGAACCCCACATTGAGTGTAGAGCTCACTTATAAAAAAATAAAATTTTTTTTAAATACCTTGAATGCAGGCAAAATCCCTCAGTAATCATTTTCCACAAAGACTAATGCTGTGTTGTGCCATAGCCTCACTACTCTTCTATGCTACTCACATAAGGTATTATGTTAAAATGCATGACAATGCAGAAAAAAATAAACAAAAACAAATACAGGCCTTTGTCATACTCCACACTCATTTTAGCAGTCTCGCAAAATTAAAAATGTTTTCCAAATGAATTGTCAAGAGAATTATTTATTTTATCCAAGTATAGTGTAGCAAGTCTTGGATGGCACTGTTACTAGTTTCAGGGAAACAGAAAACAATTACAAAACTAAGTTAAAGGCAACTTTATTACAGTACTTTTCCAAACTTCAAAATGCATTTATTATTGAATTTAGAACTAACATATAATACATTATATTACAAAACAGAAAGCATATCTGGTCAGATATTAGCTTGCATGTATTGCCCAAAATATAGTTTCCTAGGAACAGCAGCAACACACAATAGTTTATATCACTAAGTAAAATATTTCTGATGTGACATAAAGAATCATTTATAATTTATTTTATGTTCATTTAAAAACAAAGCAAAGTTATCTTTTCTATTTCTTACTAGTTAATGCCTTGAAGTTGTTTATACCCTAAAAACATCCACCAGTTTGCAAATATTTCCTTTGGTAGAAAATAGGATTTTTGAAGCTAACCAAACTAAAAGAACACTCAATTTTCCCATTGCAAATAGGGGCAGAATTCTCTTCTTTCCTTTTTTAGGAGCCAAATCTGGGCCTCCTTCTCTTCATAGCCATCCTGAAATAGTACCTGCTTTAAAAAATACCCAAATCTATAATAAACTCTATTCTGATAAAGTCTTCTCTGTTTTATCTTGCCTCCTCAATATTTGATTATTTAGGGTAATTTACAACCACTTTGAACATTATGTAATAATGAATTTAGAAGTAATCTTGGGAAATGTAATAACATTAAGGATGTAGTTTCCAAATTAGATGAGGATATTATTTGCTCATCTGCCTCTGCTTCACACAACCAACCAAATTCAACTTACAAATAGAGTTCCTTTTCCAACGTCACCACTCTAATGACAATGGAAACAGATATAAAACCACTGAAGAGATCAGAGTCCCTTAATTTGCTCTCTTGGTTTAATATTTGTGAGCTACCAACTAGCACAAAACAAGTTCCTCTTCCTCTTTTTTACAATAGCAGGAGATGGTTAGAAAAGTATAGAAAAGGTTCTATTTTTTTGTAAGGCAAATTTAATACAGATTTTCCTATGAGGTTGGAAAAAAGAAAAAGTGAATGAAAAGGTATGTGCTGGCTGCTTGGGGGGGCAAGACTCATAAATCACTGTACGTTAAGAGCACGTGCTGAAACTTCATGGTGCCAGTCACGTAATTTTGTGTATTTGGGACTAAAGACGTGAAGGGGTATCTTTTCCCTGTGGAAATAAAAAAAAAGAAAAGAAAAGAAAAGAAAAGTGATAGAAGAGTCATAAGAAAGAGAAGGAAAAAGTTTGTACGCTTAGTTCATCATGCAGAAAACATGCTTTATAAAAGCTTAATTTCACATAGCTATTTTATTTAATAGTGAAGATTTTAAGGGTAGAGCATTTTTATAAATATAGAAATTAATCTATAGAGCCCTCCTGGAAATCCATTTTTATGCCCAAAATAAAATTTCTATAAGACAACACAAATTCATTCACAGAGATCTGTAGTGTTAGCAAAGCATCCCCCAAGTATACTCTTCTGCCCACTTACTTCAATATGAAAGGAAATTAACCTTACATGAAATGAAGATAATAGCTACTAATTTAAAAATCTGTTAAGTTTTTTAAGTCCCACAGTTAAGTCCCACAAAAGATACCAAAGTTAAATGCTCAGCTTCTAGTTACAAAGACAAAAAGCCATACCACTACACTTGAAAATGTGAAAAAACAAATCGAGACCATTCATAAAAGGAAAGCATTCAATTTACCAAAAAAATGGACAACTTACTTTGCCTTCTTTGTATTTTCAGTGTCCGACTCTTTCACTGAAATATAATAAGCAATATCCAATATTAGTTGACTTTTTTTTAACTTGAAAAATCACTTGAGCAATTAATTGTACCAATCAGTATCAAATGGTCAAGCTGCACAGAGCCACTGAAGAACACTCCACATCATGCTGTCACTGGCTACATAGTATGGTCAGTACTATTATTGCTCCACTTCTCAATGCAATTCTCCCGGGCTAGTTCTTATTTACATTACCCACATTATGCATGGCCTAATTTAAGAGCAAACTGCCTCAGGAAAATTATTCTTTTCCAATAATCGCCCATCTGTCTAAATGCTATTCTCTATGGCAAAGAACATTTGTATATTAGAATCCCTAGGTATTTGCTTACGATGTTCAGTCCCAGTGATCTGGGCGAGGATTCGGAAAGAACGAGACTGAGTCGTTCCAGTCCTTGGACGCCAGTCTTCGGTGTCCTCCATCAGTCTCTTCTTGCTGGCATCACTATGAGTTGGTATGTGATAAAACTCCGTATTGCGCTCCACAATGTGTTTTCTTGGTGGGCTAGGATTAAAAGGGAAGGAAAGAATTACAAATCTTTAAATCATACTAAGGATAAAATACCCTCTGCCAAATTATAATTCACACATTTAGTATCAATGTTCTTTTTTATATCTTTTGCTTTTCCAAGTGAACTCAGCCTCAATTTTCTTAAAAAGGCGCCCTTCTATAATAGACTTGCTTTTTCTTAAACTAGTAAAAAAAAAAAAAAGGTATTTCTATGCTAACATAAAATAATATAAATATCTATTCAAGAGAAAGTTTACCGTTTAGGTGGGGTTTTCCTTTTAATTGACAGAAGAAGGCAGCAGAAGAGAGATTCCAGCATAAAGAAAAGGAAAAGAATAAGAAAAGGAAAATAATGAGAATTGCAACATCCACAGGAGTTTAAAAAATTTTTTTGAAATTACTTATATTGTTCTTCTACCTATCTTATGCCTAACAAAACACAGGTATGGACTATATTCACAACCACTGTTAAATATTAACATATTTCCAAAATGTATTGCCTTTCACAAAATTAAATGACCATATCTTCACTACGCCCAGGAACTAAGAATGGTTTAGTACAGGGTAAGTCAGTACTTCCAAACACAATTCTGAAAAGGGTCAGAACTGTTACTTTCTATGGTTTTCTCATTCATGTGTATAGATATCCCTCATCCTAAATAAAGTTGTGTGCAGGTTCAGTGTAGGGAATAAGAGCTATGGTATATGGGAAACCAGTGAAATAGTTATCAAAACACCAAGATGTAAATCTTGGCTCTATGACTTTACAGATGTGTGATTTTGGACAAGTCAACCTCACTGAGCCTGGTTTTTCATTTATAGATGAGTATATCACATACGAAATGGCATTGTTCTAAGCGTTAAATGAAATAATATATGTGAAAGGGATTAGTAAATTACAGAATTCAAGAACTTTGAGTTTGCTACGAACATTCATTTTTCTATTAACAAAGCATAAACATTAAGGAATTTATAATGTATGTTAATACTTTAGCCTAAGATCTTCTGAACATAATGAATACTCCGTTCTCTCCCCCCCCCCCCCCCCCCCCCCCCCCACCCCCCCCAAGACATGACAAATGCAAACTTTTGGAAGCCTTGAGTGTAATTCCAGGAGAGAAAAACGAGCCTAAGTCTGGACTAGCAGACTACTGCCGTAAGATCCAAGCAAAGTGTTCAAAGAGTATCAGATGTGGGTGGCAACACCTCCTGGGTGTAACTCATTGCTAGAAAATCACAGGTACTATCAGAACGCCACTGGACTGTTGTCATTTTAATAGTTACACTACCAAAACTGTGTCGGTATACTAGAAGAGTTTTTGCCCAGTGAACAACATGATAGGATTAACATTAACACTGGCTTTAAAAAGACAGGCAACAGTTTCAAGCATGACATCCTTCACGTAGTGTGTGTTTTATGCAAGTCATTTAAAATCTCGATTTTACCCATCTGAGAAAAAGGGATTGCATCTACCTTAAAGAGCTGCTTTGAGGAATAAATAAGATCAATAATGTATGTAAAGTGTTTTCCAAAGTACCTAGTGCACAGTAATGATCACATAATGTGTTCTTTTATGATGCCTAAAAACATTTGAAATGCGTATTTTAAGACTATGGGTCATCCGCATATGTAAGTAACAGAACAGGGGCGCTGCGGTGGCTCAGTGGCTAGGTGTCCAACTCTTGGTTTCCGCTCAGGTTCAGGTCACAATCTCATGGGTCATGAGACTGAGCATGTTGGGGCTCCGAGCTCGGTGGGAATCTGCTTGAGATTCTCTCCCTTTGCCCCTGTCCCCATGTGCGTGTCTGTATGCTCTTTTCCTCAAATAAATAAATCTTGAAAAATAAATAACAGAATAAATAATATTTACACACAAAATATTTAGTTTATGGTAAAATTTTAGGATTCCAGAAGTGAAATATCTATTATTTTACTATTAATTACTTTACTAATTACTTTTACTAAAAACCTAATCCTTTTTAAAAGAGAATTTTTAAAAATTAGAACAGGTAGAGTACTTCATAAACACACTACATTTAGAAGATATAATTTCCTAAACTGACAACTCTTTATCTTATGCAATTACTCGAAAAACTTCATATTTAGCTACTAAACTTAAAGCTTAAATTTCTCTATAATTAGTGAATGTAAGTTACTCTTAAATGGTGCCAATTTCAACTATAAGATTATTTTATTTCCTACAAAAGGTTTGGTCTGTAAAAATACAGACTTGTATTAAAATACACTGCTTGTCAAGCTAAGAATAAGTACAATAAGAATAATAAAATGACACCACTTAAGAATACGTTTTAGCCATGACATACTTGCAAAAAGCATGGTACACCTTAGACTCTCTGATATTCACCACAGCTTAAGGCCTTGTGTTAAGGGATATGAAGTTTCTAAACATTTACTTAGCTTTTCTGGCTCTGACACTCTAAGCTCTGATGACTATGATAAAAGAAGAGCGTCATCTCACTGATTTTATTTTTAAAAATATATTTGAGCTAGAACATAAATTTAACTATCAAAAGCAAATAATTTATTTCAAAATATAGATATTCACAATTAGCAACTTTATTCAAACTTTTAAAAAAATACTAAACAAGAGAGGCCCAAACTATGTCTCTAACTCCAGTATACACTGTCTACAATACTTATCTATCTCCCTGAAGGTTCAGCTTACTAATTTTTTCCACTGCCGAAGTGGAAAACACACCCACTGATTTATATGAAGTTCTTTAGTATGAAAAACATGTTTCTTAGGCTCCTTAACAAATTTGAAAATTCTTGCATGGAGAAAACACTAACAAAGTTTGCTGGTGGTATTGAATTGAAAGTAAGATGTAAAGTTAAAGAGAGACAATAATGAAAATTACAAAAGGAACCACTGATTAGGTACTTACACGGTGCCAGGGTTACTGAAGGAGGAATAATACACACAAAAAATATGTAATAGAGTAGAGAAGACATTGATGTTCCCAGGATAATGGAAAATGGACGAATATGAGGCAAAAAAAGGGGGGGGAAGAAAAAAGAAAGAAAAGGGAAAGGAAAAAGAAGAAAATAAAAAATGAAATAATGAAATTCAAAACAATGAATTTACATGAAGATATTACACAAAACATCATGCTTCAAAATAAACATGTAAACACAGACAAACAAAAATGAACAAATGTTAGTCAAAATTCTGCTATACTGTTAACAGAGAAAGATCCACTATTTAAAAATATCTCTAGGTTGATTTAATTCATTTTAGCATGAATCCAAATTCCTATTATGTTCCTAACAAAAGGCAGAGAATAAAATAATTACTGGATGTAATATGTAGAAACAGAACATTTTAGAATCACTTAAAATCAGAGAATAGGAGAAAGTCTTTCACTCACATAATATGTGAAGTATATATTAATAGCAAATGTAATCTTCTCACAAAAATTATCCTGAATCATTAAAATAAAAAGTTAACCCCCCCAAAAAAATCACTATATCATACACCTGAAACTGTATGTTAACTGGGACTAAGATAAAAACCTAAAAAGCCAAAAACATTATTCTGAAACAAATATTATAAAGAAATAACATGCTATTTGATTTTTCTCTTATTTTTTAAAAATGTGATTATAATGGAAAATATAGGAAACATACTGGATCATAAATAATGGGCTATCACTTAATTTTCATACTCTCCTCTGTCATTACCACTCTCATTCACAAGCAAATCTCAGTAAGTTTAGAACTGATTTGTAGGAACTCATGCTTTTGTATTATTAGTGACCTAATTATTACCCAAAATGACATGTCTGATATGATATAGTAAAGGAACTACATTAATAACATCTGAAAAAGGAAAATCTCAAAACACAATTCATTCACACAGCCTATTAACTGTACAATCATTAAAAACAAATATACTGATATACCATTATGGATAGAGAAGACTGAAGTATAAACTCTACAGAGTTTGTCAACACACTATTGAATCAATCCTGAAATGAAGTTTAGTCACAGTAACTAGCAATTCATTATGAATGTAGTGACAAAAACTGCCTACCGGTTTTAATACTAAGACTGCTCAGTGTAGCTGTTTTTCCTACATATATACCAAAGTCAGTTTCATAAACTCTACAGAGGGCTGAGTTTCACCCTACGGGGGTGGGATGCAGGACTAAGTTGATCTTAATATTTACTGATATGTACTCTGCTCCAGCCACAATGCAAAGCACACTTTCCTCTGCATTGCTATTTTAAATAGCCGGGAAATAGCTTTCAAAATAACCTCCCCTGAACAGAATTCTAGATACATATTTAAACGTTTTTAAGTTTAGGAGAGAAGTTTTATATCACCGTGAAGTTGGGAGGGAAACATTCTATGGTGTAGAGAGTGGCAACAACTGGAGACTTGATTGGTTTCAACCTAAAGATGCCGATTTGTATATATCGAACAAATATCTCCAAGCGTTTCAGAAAAGGCACCCAAGCGGAACGGCCCATCATACACTGCAATGGCATTTGTGCCAATGTGCCCATGAGAAGACCTGGCTTCACAACCCTGGCTGTGCTGCCCACTTGCCCTGTGCCCTGGACAAAGTGCAATCTACAGAAGCCTCTCTCACCTGAACACTGAAATGGATTACGATTTCTTTTTTTTTTCAGACTTCTTGTAAGGGCATATGTTTAATATATTTAAAGTCACTCTGAAAACCATACAAACACAGATTTGTTGTTAGGATAGATCTCCTAACTGATATATATATAAAAGAAGTACTATCAAACCCAACTGTACTTTATGCACATTATTCATTCACACTGACTCAACCCATTTAAAAACAAATACTAGGGCTCATGGGTGGCTCAGTTGGTTAAGCGACTGCCTTCAGCTCAGGTCATGATCCTGGAGTCCCGGGATCGAGTCCCGCATCGGGCTCCTCTCCCTCTGACCCTCTTCCCTCTCGTGCCCTCTATCTCTCATTCTCTCTCTCTCAAATAAATAAATAAAATCTTAAAAAAAAACACTATTAAAAACAAATACTAGTTCAATGTAACAGAAATAAGCCAGGGTCACAGTCAGGTGATGCTGAGGAAAGCATGTTCAAAATAGCTTCAAAAAACCTAAGCTTTAGTCTTAATCACTTACAAGATGCATGACCTGTAAAATTAAGTAACCTCTCAGTGTTCAAAGTTCAAATGAGAATTGAATCACATAATGCACCCAGAAGCACCTAGCACAATGGACAGTAATACCTAATAAATGAATCTGAATCCTGAATTTAAAAATATACATATTTAACCTACATACTTGTATTTTATTTTTCCAAGGCCCAATTTTTCCCCTTTACAAGTAAAATTGTTTGTTATGGAATCTAGTAACTAGTCAAATTCTTTGTGTATAAGACTTTAAGTAATAAATTAGGACTGAACTCTTTCACTAGTACACTGGTATGCTATATTCCTATGTGTATGGAACATGGAACTATTCAATTAGTGGGACTACAGCTACACTGGAATAAAGTTGTTCTAATAATTTGATCGTTAATTCTCTGGTATGCCTAAAATAGTTAAATATTATATATTTCCAATTCTAATCTACATTTTGATGATAAATTTCAGCATATGCTCACACTAATCATAACACAAAATTAAGTTATCTAATGTGATTTTTATCTATTTTTAAGGCTATTAAACACCAGCCAGTGTACCATCAAGACCAACAGATACAATAGCGAGGTTTTAAAGGTATTCCACAGTGATTCCCAATGTCTATGCCAACTACCTATGACATTTAATAAGTCAGTAACTATCTCTCTTAATTAATTTCAAAGGTATATATAAACTTTCTATCATCCAGTGACACACAACTGTACACGTAGAGGTCTAAAACTTCCAGCAACATTGTTGAAAAAATCAAAAATGTTCTTAAAGAGACTTTAACCTGGGAAACACTGGTTTGTGATATGAATTTGGAAAACAATTCAGTTTTATATAATATGTTTTTCGCTAGTGGTATATATGTTTATGCTTTCTCTTTTATCTTTCTCTTTGTCTTCTAATAGTCTCAACTAACACAAATTACATTCCCCCAAGCATTATGTCTTATAAACCACTACACAGCAAACCCCACATATATTTTATGGCAAAAGTTAAATACTATTATTTATTATCATAAAGCAATTCACTACAACATAGCAATGCAAACCAAACTTATTGAAAACACTAAATGTTGATTTTTAAATGACAGCTGTTTCGCAAAATCTTAATTTTGCAAAAATCAGACACATTCATGCTGTTTACTCATATATAAATCACCATATTTCCTCTCCAGTAATGTGGATACTAACTTTGTCACTTGTGTTTTCTGTAAAGAGAAAAGTATTTTAAAATATTACTATCATATCATATTTTGCATCTTCCAAGGCCAGGGTCTTCAAAATAACATATTGGAACTGTTAGAAGAAATTGCAGTCCAACAAAATTGAAATTAATAAAGGATACATGAAGGACTTACCTCTTGAAAGCAGTGGCACATTATAATGCAAGGGCATACGGAAAGGGAAAAGGTAAATTAAACTTAAAACTACTTGATGCAAAATAGCTTTCCTTCCAGTTTGGAATATAAAGTCTCATTTTGTTCTAAGTAGAGTAAAGAGGGAGAGGAGTAAGGAAAATAGCAAGTCAAGACCAATAATTTGTATATGTAGAAGAAAGATTAAAAATTTCTTAAAGTGCCTTGTTCATTATTATTTATAAGAAGGAACAAGAACACTTACATAGCATTATTAAGAAATCTTCTAAAACTATCAACATAATTATAGATTTCATACTTAACGATGAATAACAATTTCTCAGTAGTAATGCATGATGAAGAAACACTTATTTGTGTCTTATGTTAATTAATCCCATATAAATCTGGGTGAGACACCTACCAGATTGGCAAAGTGGTCAGTTACTTTAAATCACTTAAAGACTAATAATCTTTCTGCTTTGAGGAAAAAGACAACTTAAGAATTTAGCTTTATACCCTTCTGAACTCTTAAATTTTTGGTTACTGGCATATATTATTTTTAAAATAAAAAGTAATCAATAAAAAGTCACAACTCTCAACTTTGAAAGAGTTCTGTTGCAGATCTTTTGTAACATTATAGAAATATGAAAAATGTACTAATCACATAATGAGTAAATAGTCTGACAATGATTTCAGAAAAAACTTTGATACCTGATGAAGGAAATGCTTTCATCAACACCACAAAACACCTATTCTTCAAAATGACAGATTACTGACTAGTAAAGAGGGTGATTTATTTTTGATTTCTCTAATCTAAATGTAGTAAGAGAAATGTCAATGGCAAATTTGTCTTAGACACCACACTTTGTTTTCAGACTAATCAAGTTTTCATTGACCTAACATGTGGACAACATTTGAAATCAACCTATTTTTAAATATACCCACTTTGCTAATGTGAAGCAATACTTTGCTTGTTAATGATGCAAAACATGTAATAACCCCCCTTCCCCTGAATTCTTGCACACTGCTAGCCACAGGCACATGCTCAGTAATCACAGGTCCACTGATTAAAAAGCCACCATTGAGGCCTTATTCCTACACCACTGCCTACGGTTTCAGTTTGAAAATAACAAGCTTTAAATCATTTTAAGTTTAATCATCAAAGTTGTACCTGTAAAACAAAGGTTTAAGCTTCATATTCATATTTTCATGTTTTAAATGTAGTACTTTTCCATAACCTCAACTTACTTTTACCTGTACATTAAGAGTATCTTATATGAGTCAGTAGAATTTTTTTTTCTTAAAAAAAGAAGAAGACTATTTTATAAAATTTCAAGAAGTTAGTAAGGAGAAATATTTTTGTTCAGACACTTCTTCCAGTGGACCTTTTTACACTGAAACTGGAATATAATAAACATAGTAAACTTCTGCTTTTAGTTTTCTACGGGGCCAACAATTTGACAGGCAGCATCTTCTCAGAATATCTCCTTTGATCACTCTAAATTCTATTGTCTTAAAATAGACATACAAAAAAATACAACCAAGCCCACCTCAACACTACATACTATTTCTCTTCCTCAAATAAAAGAAGAAATAGCATTCTTTGAAGGACACTAATTTTCCTCAATATATACATCAAAACTTTAAAAAGCCACCCACAACCACAAAAACGGTATGTTCTGAGCAGTAGCTGGTCTTCCAGACCTCCTGCTCTTTCTCTCAGCAGCAGCCTGGAGCCCTGCCACCTTCTTTTCAAAGCCCCACGGTTGCCATGGCAGCAGTGCTACAGAAAGCACAGCTCCTTCATTACGTGAATTAACATTCGGAAGGGATTATCTCAGAAAGGACCTATGCACGAAATTATTTTAATTACATTTTCCTGGGAACTGGCATTGGTAAAAACCATCATGCATGCAGATGATTTCCCTTTGTTTTCCTTTTAAAGTACATTTTTGCCACAATAAATCTGATCAAAATGATTTTACAAAAACGATTCTGGCTTCAAGTATAGTCACGGAATTCCAAAAAGAATAAGACGACCATCTATAAATGGAAGCTGCTGAAAAAATGTACTTCAACCAATGTTTTTAAATGCCTCAAAGGAAAAAAAAATCATAGGGAACAGATTTTCAAAAACTTCCACTGACATTATATAGTTAGTGTCCACTTCTGTAAATCCATTCATTTTAGAAAAACCTTTACAATGAAAACATTCTCTAATTTGCTTCTGATGTTTGTGAGGCATCCTCTGATGCTATTGTTCTGTCATTACTGTTTGCTTTTACAGACTAAATTCTAGCTTAAGCTTATCTGAAAAGAATGTTGCTGGCTATCTGACCTAAGCTAATGCATCTTACGAAGACATGAGTCAAAACTAAATTTGTTTTCTGTCTTTAGACTACTTCCTAGAAAAAAAGCTTCTTACAATCTCCTCAATTCCTCTCCTTAGGGTGAGATACATAAGCTGACACAACTGTAACCACTCCGTTTAAACTTTTGGTGACTAATAAAAGGATGGAAAAAATGAGAAAGAAAGACTCAAGGTTGGCCTTGCATTGTAAGTACCAGCTGCTCCATGTTATGCCAGGACTTGAAAAGAGTTACAGAGTAGTATGTTACGTGGTTCATAACATGTCAAAATGCATTACTTGGGTTTTGATTAACCTATAATTGCCTTGCAGAAAGTGCTATATGTATATACTATAAAGCTACATGTTAATGAAGCAAATAAAACTTCATCTCCTTTCCTTCAAAGAACTGCTGATTGGGGGTGGGGGTGTAAATTGTCTCCTGGAAATTGCCTGAAAGAAGAGTTTTGATAAGAGCAGAAAGCACCCTTGGCGACCTACCCATTTTGCTGTTTAATGTCCCCCTGGGATCCTCTTCTCTGCCCCTCTGCTAGCTCCTGAGCAGTCTCGGAACACAGGCTGGTGACTGTGGGCTGCCGTGGGACATTAACTGCAGGTTTACCAGCGCTCAGTGCAGACGAATGCTGGTCAGCACTAAGACTGGCATTAGCATGCGGTCCAGATGCAGCAAATGAGGGAGGAGTGACAGCGGCCACGGGTGGAGGGGAAGCATGTGATGAAGTGTTCGCATGGGCTGGGGTGAAGGCGGACGATGGTGATGGGATGGATGTGACTTTTGGTGAAGACACAGAACCAAAGGGTCGTGGTGCCTTATTGTAGGCCATGTTGGTTGTGGAAGTGACTTTGGACACAGCAGGAGATGTAATGGGCACAGGTTTAACTACTTCTTTAGGTTCTCCCTATGTAAAATAAAAAAAATACACAAAAACACACCAAATACATGCAAAATAGATTCACTAAAAAGAACACATAGCTAGTTTTCAAAAAGAGAAACACAATCTGTTAGCAGCCCAAACTTTACTTGTTTCTAGATAAAAACAATGAGCATAACATGCATGCCAACTGATCCCAACATGCATAACACAGATGCACACGATGAGTGTATTTTTTTATAAAAATTAAAGAAGTTTCAAAATATTTAGGAACTAGAGTAGGAAAACTATCAAAATGCCTAAATGCCATCATAAATGTCAACAGACACTTAATTTTCCAAAAGGAAAAAATTTTAAATCCCCACAATAAACAAAATATCACTAACCAAAACATTTATTTTAAAATATACAGTCCTGATTATAATTTCATCTTTCAAACATGTTTAATTACTCTCCAGAGTAAAATTATTTGATTCATGCAGAAAAAAAAATGCATATTTCTAAGTCTCCTATTTAAAAAAAAATTAAACAGAAGGAAAAGATCATTTTCTCATCTAACTCAGAAATGTGCACATTCTAATGAATTATTTTGAATGAAGATATTGCTTAAAAGAAAAATCTCAACAATCCACCTGTTTCTCTCTCTGGAATGTTTTGAGATATTATTTGGAGATGGAATAAAAATTCTTTCCCTCTTCCAAAATAAATAGTTAATAGTTACATGAGGAAAAAAATGATCTTAGATGTTTCTTTATTGCCATTTATCAAAGAAAAATTAACTACTAAGAAAAATCAATTCCTCCTAAAATTAACATAGCTTGTGTTTGCAAACCCTATCCCAAAGAAAGTGTGAAGTTTAAAAACAAAACAAAACAAAAGGTCAAGCTTCTATGACATTCAAGAATAAATTCCTATTCACCCTACCATCCCAAAAGAAAACAATCAAATTCTTTTAAAAACCTACAAAGGTAGCCCTATTATGTTTAATTTTAAGAAAAAAAATAAGTAATCTAAATTAACCTTGTAGAAATGATAAAAGCTAATTGGGGGGGAGGGAAGTAACTTAATGTCTCAGCAAATCAGTATAAGTAATTCAATGGAAAGGCACAAATAAAATTAAGGAGAAAATCCCCCAAAGTATAAACCAGCTGTATTATGAAAAATGGTTTGGGACAATTTGAGGTTATATATGACAGAAAGAAGGTACTTGCCAATAACCTAATCCAGAATACTCTGAAAATGTAATTAAAAACCTATTAATGTTACTAATAAAATGTTATCAAAGACTTGTGATACTCATTTTCAGTAACCACTTATTTATTCTCCTTAAAACATGTGAATAAAGATAGGCAAATTAAAAGTGAATGTGAATGTAAGAAATATGGAAATAAGTTAGATAATACATGGCACTAGAAATCATGTTTTAATAATATCGGTATAATTACAGATGTTAATTATGTATGTGTTGATTTCCATCCCTCACCCCCCACAATCTTTAAAGGAAAAGAACTGTAAGGAAAATCGTACTGAAACTATAAATTGTCAGTATGGCCTAAGACAAGGAATGGAAATGACAGTGATTCAGGAGGGACTATCAAGTGGTACCTAGTGATACCAGATGAGAAACAAACCTTCTGCACGGGAACTGGCTCAGGCTTGGGTGTAGAAGATGCCCTGAAGGGAAAAAAAAAAAAAAAGAAAAAGGAAAAAAAAACACATAAATTTTTGCAAACATCTTATTAATGGAATTTTTATTAGTATACACCTTAATATATTAAATAATCAGAATTTATAGTTTCATATCATAGTCTTGACTATTTGTCTCTACTAATTAATTAACTTATGTAACTCAAATGCTGCAAGTACCTATACCCTTACACACCGGGTATTCATTAGTTATCTACACACTCAAATGAGGAAAGACAAACACCAATTGTGTTTCCTAATGCACCTGTGTTTAAGCTTTCAATTAAGGTTATTCCCCACCCAAAACTGAAAAGTATAATAAACAGACCTTCTCATTCTTGAGTGGTTCCTGAAATATCTAATCTGAACCTCTATCTCTAATAAGTATCTGCCTTTTCTCCTAACATCCAGGAATACGACCACAGGATACTGGGTCTCTCTGAAGATAATGAATAAATTCTGGTTGAACTGAGTCACGAAATGAGTATTTATTTTGTATTTATATTCTTAAGTGCTTGTGCAAGGTAATATATTTGTTATGCTAAAACTAAACTAAACTAAGTTCTTCCATTAGGCTATAATTTCAGTGAAAGAAATGACCATATCCCATTTGTGTCTCTATACAAGCACTGTGCCTGGCATGTAATAAGACATCAGTAATGAGTGTGGAAAGGAGAGAACAAGGAAAGAAGGGCAAAACTCCATGCATAGAACATATTTCCAAATTCAAATTATTTCCGATATATGCTTTTTTATTAGGTTAGCATGGACTAACAGTAACAATTTGGTTGGCATGGACTAATAGTAACAATAATTGATTTGGAGCAACTATCACATATAATCATGACAAGTAACCAAAGTTGCAACTATCCTTAACCCCATTTTTCAGATGAGGTATTTCAAAGTTGAGAGTAAGTAAATTACATAGGCTACAGCTGGCTGACAGTTCTTATATATTACAATACACTAGCTGCAGTCTAGTAACTAAATGATTGGGAAAGCTAAAGGCTATTTACCCAGTATTAAGGTACATTATGTTTAGTAATGCCAGAAGCAATGTGTCTCCTCTTATAATACAGGCTGTAGATAAGACATCAAGTACAAAATTCAAGAAATGTAACAACAGTATATAAATAAGTGATAACAATTTAAGCTATAAACCATGAGATTGTTTTACTTATAGAGATTAACAGATCGCCAACAGAAGAAGCTAGCATAGGATATTTGATCTCTATAAGTATAACCTAATAATGAACTCCGATCAACATTTTGCAGCAACTGAATTTTCCAGTAACAACTAATTTGGTTAGGGCAAGCACTGACTGAATAATTGGCTAACCTAATGAGAGGCCACAATGGATGCTAACAGTCGGTTCTACAATATAGAATTATATTCTGTGAAGTTGCATAACTTTCCATCTGTACTCTCAAATAGAAAATTTCTCTTTTAGCTTATAGGGTTATTATAATAAGCAAAGGAAACAAGTTCAAGTACAGAACAGTGGAATCTTCCTTTCATTGAAATTTCACAATGAGATGTAATCACAAAGGATCTACTTATTAAAACCACCCAAGACATTATTGGAAGTTTGCCATAACAGGATGGTTTCCTTTTTCATCTGGACACTTAAAGGTGCATGGAACTCTTCTAGCAACATAAAAACAGTCTATAAAAAAGAACTTGATGTTTAACAGTCACCAAGTTTCCAAACAGAATAAAATGCATATATCCTATGTCTATGAAAACAAACCCCTTAGTTTTTCCCAGGTGTTAGTTCTTAACCAATGTTAGCAACAATAACAAGAACCTCCGAATGGTTAGTTTACTTAATTTTGTAATCCAACCTCTTAATTTTGTTAAGCACAGAATAATAATAGTTCTAAAATACTTTATGTATTGGAAGTTCAACAAGAATACTGTACTGCTTGAAATCTTGAATTCACAAAAGAACTTAAAATCTGAAACTTGAAACTATTTGCCCTGCTTCTGATAAAGTCTCACAGTGCAACTACCTGAACTAAGACAAGCAGTCAGAAAAAAAAAAAAATGGATAACACACCCCCAAAATCTCAGAATTGAGTCCATTACACATTAAAAACACAAACATCATTTTGTTGGGAAAAGACAGACTTACAATGAAATGTCAAATAAAGTAGTTGGCACTAGGTGCAATAAAAATTAGTTTCTTGGGTTTAAATATTTAAATAACCACCAAATGAATGGTTATATATTTAGATTTCCTTAAAGTTAACTTCGTCACATGACATGCAGGTATTCATCTGACCTCTGAATATTTATAGGAGCTCATACTTTAAGCCATATAATTTTTTTAACCCTTCTATTTAAAATGGCCCTCATTTTATTTTTTTAAATTTTTTAAAATTTAATTGACATTTCTTTTTTAAGATTTCATTTATTTGTTTATTTGACAGAGAGACAGTACAAGCAGGGGGAGTGGAAGAAGGAGAAGCAGGCTCCCCGCTGAGCAAGGAGCCCTAAACAAGGCTCAAACCGAGGACCCTAGGGACCCTAGGATCATGACCCAAGCCAAAGGCAGACCTTCAACCAACTACGCCACCCACGCGCCCCTAAAATGGCCCTCATTTTAGAGTGTGGTTTTGCTTTTTGGAGTAAAGAGAGGTCAAACTGTCCACATTAAAAATATTTGGAAAAACATTTTTAACACACAGTAAATGTACCTATAACATGCATTAGTTACATTTTAAAAGATCAGTATTTAAGTGTATTTATCTTATATGTAATGTATTTTTTACTTAAGTGTATATTTAAGTATAATTACATACTCTTATGACACTAAAATTACTGTGCTTTGAGAAATTAAAATACATGACAAATGAAATCTGCAAAATTAATGAACAGCATTAGTACCAGCTTTAAAAAAGTCAAACTTTACTAATTATTACAAAACAACAAAGATATAGACCACCTTTTGCTCTCAAGTGTGTACAGATTTTTTAAATGTTAATAATGTTTGTGAGAATACACATTGTTGGAAAAACTATACATTAATACAGCTCTCTTGAAAAATAATTTGGCATTTATTTATAAAAAGCCTTGAAGAAAGCTCATGCCCTTTGACATAATAATCAACTTCTGGGAATCTATCATAAGGAACCCACCTGAAATATGGAAAGGGCTTTATGTATAAAAATATTCATTCCCTACAGTGTAACTTATAATAGTGAAAAACTGGAAACAACAGCCTAAATACACAATAATGAGGATATGGTTAATTGCAATAAAACCACAAGATGAAACATGCGATGATTAAAACCATTCTTTGAAAGAATCCCAAATTGCATGATAACATGCTTACTTTGTGGTATTAAATGAAAAAAGGAAGATGTAAAATAGCATAACCAGTATGGTCAGTGCATGGAAAAAGCAGATGGAAACAGACTAACATTTTAGTAAAGGTTCTCTATGAATGATACTTGTTTTTTTCTCTTTTGTGTTTTCTGTTTTATGAAACATACATGTACTACTTTTTATAGCTTTCTCAAAGTATGTTTCACGGAAAGCTACTTTTCAAAACACACAAAAAAAGAGGTTCTGTTACCAAAGAGATCTGGAAAACTTAAGTTATATAAGCATGTTAGCCACAGAACTTCTCAGAGCCTTTAAATGCCTAAAGAAAAAAATACTGCAGATTGTTGTCCATACCCCTTTGAAGTATGGCATACTAATCTATTTAGAATACTTACTTATTTAGGAAACCTTTCTCAAGACTGGAGTTAGGAAAAAAACCCTCTGGGAAATGCTATTTTAAAGAAACAGTAAAGAAAGTAAATCCTTGTAAGTCTGAAATGTTTACTTAAGTCTCCTACAAGTGGCTAAAATAAAGGAAAAGAAATATTATAATCCATACAATCCTCGAAACGTTTTGCCAGACCAAATATCTTCTTTATCAAACTAGTGCTTTCTTTAACTGTGTTTAATAAGTAAGATACCCAAAGATTATGAGAATAATGTAATCAATGTTTAAGGGAGGAAAATCCCATTTCCTTCACCAAACTGAAATATGTATTTCCTATATTCCCTGAGGAGAAAATCCTAATATATGAATAAGAAAAACTATTTCTCAAAATTAAGATTTTTCTTTCTTTAAAAAAAAATTATACTGACCATCCGCTCCTTTAGAAATATCAGAGATTACTTAAAAGTGAATCATTTTTAAAAAGACATTTAAATAGATAAGCAGTTTTAAAAACTGAGGTATAATTAGTAAAAATTATTCGGTTTTACAAAAGTCATTTCTGCAAAGGCTGCAAAGCAGAATATCCATGTGGTCCTGTCTAAGCTGCAAAAGAGGACGTCAGTGCTGTTTTATTTTAGCTGTCCCAACTCCGTATTTTTTTGTTGGGGACCCAGGTTCTGACTCCCTAACTTTTCAATTGTCCTACATTGTTCTCTTCAAATCCTGGGAAATACGCAACAGGGTAATATATCTCCATTTCAACCACAGTGATCATCACAAGTCACTTTTGTGTAGTGTGTGTTCCAAACTAGCAGAGATCCTGGCAATGGCTTAGTGCCATGGTCTCAACAATTTGCTTATTGTTCTCTCTTCTCTTAGTGTGAAGCCACTGTACAGGAGTAAGCCATGATGGTGAGAGACTAGTGCCTTGGCCCAATACTCTCCTCAGCTCATGGAATTCAAAGAACAAAGCCATCAGTGTGGCTAGAACAATCTATTTTGAAAGTTGATTGATTTTTGTGAAAGCAGCATCCAAAATAAAAATCCCTGGTGCATTGCATCCAGTTTCAGAACTTCTGGCTACACAGTTGAAAGATTTCTATGTTATAATGGATTTTATTATAAACTAGAATTGTGATGCCCTGGTTAGAATAATGCATAAGAAAAATAATGCCATAAATAAGCAATAGTTCTATCAGGGATTAGATTCAAAGGAGTCAAACAAAACTGCATCTTATGAACACCCAATGAATGGTGTTATATTTAAGT